GGCTCTAACTCTGCAGGCTTGCACATTTAGATACATGCATCTGAATGCTTATGTTCTTTACTGGTGCACGATGTCAATGTTTATCTGTAAGAATTCACACAAGTGTGGGTGTGGGTTCTCAGGAAGTGTTTAAACCTAATAAGCATTTGGAGCCTTGGAAGCTATTAAATCATCTGATGAATTTTATATAAGCAAATAGTCACAGTGATTTTAATGGGAGAAGATACAATTACAAGCCGACAATTTTTGAGTCAGGATTTAAGGTTACTCCACAAAATACAACGTTTGAGATAGTATAATGAAGAGAAATACAACAAGACAAAACAAAATGACGTTTATCGTAAGATTTTCCACAGTTAGCTGCTTGTCTAGAGAAAAAATGAGGTTTAGCTAAAATACTGCCTGCCATAGATCCATCAAAACCTCCCCCAAACCCCAAAAAGGACCTTGAGATGTCATCTAGCCTGTCCCCTGCTCCAAAGGCAGAACATCCATCACTGACAGCAGTTGCAGCAGTTCACCAGCAGCACAGACATCACTGAGAAGCCACAGGAATGCCCTTCAGATCAGCAGCATAGAAGGAGAAATGGGTGGCATTCGGTATGTAGCAAACACATTCAATCAAAGCAGCAGTGTAAGCCATTGATTAAACACAGACTGAGGTCGTGCTTCCTCAACAGGAAAAATGCATGGCTTTGTGTTCCCAAAGCGAGGGACTCGTCCTTCAAGTGGCAGAAAGCAGAATGCTTTTAGGGCAGGTGGCACTTTGTCATGGTTGATCACTTAATGCTTTTTGAATCATCTTTCCTTTTTCATCTCTTTTCATTTCCGTGTGCACCTCAAACTCCGAGGAAATGCTAAAAAGGAATGAATTCTGTTTAGAGGAGAAGTTGTCAAGAGTATGCAGATGGATGGAAGGTGCAGCACAGATCACAGAATCATAGGACCATCAAGATTGGAAAGACCACCAAGATCATGTAGTCCAACCATGCTGTAGGGCCCAGATTTCAGTGGGAACTAATGATCTACCGTGATCATTGGAGGCCCTGCTGTGCTGGGACTGCTGTAATTCCATCACTAATGTTATCTGTCTTAGCGACTCGGTTTGTTTGCTCTTGCTTTATATCAGACTTTTGATTAACTGTGCCTAATTTTCGGTGTGCTTCCTTAATGAATTTAATTGTGGTGAAAATTATGTGACTTCTGTGTGGGTGGAGAGGAAAAGTTACAGAAAACAGATGCAAAGAGTATTTTTTGCTGTTGAAGTGCTCGTAGGGTCTATATGACCTATGGTTAAGAAACTCTCCATAGTAAGGTGAGGGAAATCTTGGCTGCTCCTGAAGCACCAGCAAAATAAAACAAGAAGGCTGTGTGAAAGGTGGAAATTCTTTGTATTCTGGGCTCACAGATGCTACCATTAACTTCACAAAGGCAGTGCCAGGGAAAGAGAAAGGAATAGAGTTCATATCATAAAAATATAGTTGGGAAAACAAACTAATCTTCCAATCCAGAGTACAGCTTACATCCTTACTGATCCTAAACTGAGGCACAGTGCAAAGGGGATTTTAGGGAAGGCTCTGTTGCTGTCAGAGAAGTGGGCTGAGATGAACTGATACTTCTCTAACACTGGTGGTTCAGTGAAAGCCGTTTCATGACAGTGGTGACAGAAGAAAGGCAGGCAAGTGTCATTTCTCATGTGGATGATGTAGAGATGATTCCTGGCTGACTCCCTTAAGATACCTAATTGCCTTTATTTTTTAATTATTCCATCCTCTTTTGGAAAGATAGCGGCATTTTCTTAGATAAAAAATGACTTATTTTGGAAAGAGTGCAATCCTCTTTCAACTGTTCTTGAAAGAAACAGTAGAAAACATCCTTTGCAAATTATTTCTCTGATTAGAGATGTTTTGTCTATTGCAGAAAATTTACAGAGGTTGAATGGAGTTCATGCTAATAGCAAGGCAGAACTAACAGCCTATGGCTGTATGATCCTCTGCTTCACAGGTACAGCTGCTGCAGGCACTGAATTCACATGAGAAATTCATTCAGGCTGCAATTGCTTTTTTTGATGGTCATATAAAGCTAAGGTATGCATGGTGTGGGTACCTGCCAAAAGAATTTGTAAGTCCTGGCTACAGAAGTTGCTCACTCTGAGGTTCTTGTACTTGAGAAAGTTAACAGGAGATTTATCTGAGGAAGTTATTGTTGTTATTATAATCATAATCATCACTAGCTATAGCACTATTAGGTTTTGTGGATGAGCTGCAACTGCTTCTTCACTGCCATGTGATCTTAAGGGATCACCACCTATGTCTGAATTCTCAGTTTTTACAATTATAATTACTGTGTTTCTAAAGACAATATTTCCAGTAACTAAGAGGTATTTCTTGATTTTCCATAATACATACTTCTTTCTACAGGAATAATTTTCCCTGTGGTCTACGATCTCAATAGTTGACGACAAAGCAGAGGTTACACAGCATTATTTCCAGATGCACATAACCCTTTTTTGCACTGTTCAGTACACGTCTGTGCTTTCAGAGATCTTAATTCACAAAGGTACTTGGCTACACTCCTAGCTTTAGGCAGTTGAACAGTTCCATTGTCTTTACTGGGATAAGTGCTGTGTTTTGAGTTGAGTGCATGAAGAGACAGAGAACTTGCTGAAGGCAAAAGGTTATCTCAGCCTTTGTATAGGAGTTTGGTAGTATTTGTAAGTACCAAGTCTTTTTGCCCAAATAAGTTTTGTGTAGGAAAGTTCACTAATTTCCACATCCAGACTGTAAGCCTGAAAGTGCTTTTACAGCCATTAAATCCACTGAAATCCAAATGTATGGAGTCTCAGAAGCTGTAGTCAATCAAAGTAAATCATTTCATATTATTGCTACTCATATATGTATTTAATTCTGAACAACATCTTCCTGTCTCATTTAATGATTAATTTGGTGAAACAAATTCTGAAGTATTTTCTGCTGGAATTATTTTCCAGACAAGAACTGCCCTGCAGAACATGAAATGGAGCTGCAAATGTGCACAAAGCATGTGAAGCAGGGGCACTTGGCAGTGACAGGCATCTTCTTTTGCCATCAATTAATTGCCCTTCAAAAATGGTCACTTAGCACGAAGATTTGTACAGTGGGCATGCTTGACCCCCACTTCTATTCTGCTGTTTGACATCTGCGTGGGCTGACTGTGCAAGCAGTGTTCAGACTTCAGAATGTGTAGGGTTCTGGGGCATAAGGGGACAGGACACTGAGCTATGGTGTGATGGCTCTGGAAAGCTAGGAAGAAGGATAAATATCCTGGCAAAGAAAGAGAGTCAAATTTAGCTCAAAATCAATTAGCCCAATCCATCCTCTTTGTAAGATGGAGCCCCATCCTCATCAGCAAAATTGTCAAGAAGTAGGGGAGGTAAGGATGAATATTCACAGCATAAGTAGGCACAGCACAGAGAAATAGGAAATGATGCAAACTCAGTTGCAGTCCTGTGTTGATGTACAGCTGTGAGGAGCAGAGACACATTGAAATCAGACAGAGGAATGTGAGTGCTTTCTTGAGATGCACGGGGGCATGAGATGGTAAAACTTTGCTCACTGCAAAAATTGTGCTGAAAAATCAAGCTGCAAGCTGCCTGTGCTGGTGCTGGAGAACGTGCTGAGTGTACCTGAGGTGGGTTCTCCACGTTAACACGTCTCAGCCATTTCTAGATCATTCCCTTCTTTCAGGGAAGTCCTTTAGTGACTTGCCCCAGGTGTGAACCATGTATGCATTCGATTTTATTCCCCCACTACTGGGTGAGCATGTGGCCAGCCTCATTAAAAGTTGCCCCAAGGCCTTCAGTGCTTCTATCTTGCATTCAAAATACAGATTCAGCATTAATTCAGACACAGACCCCCCACTCATTCTGCACCTCGGTGGGCGCAGACGGGAGTTGTGACAGCACAGTGCTCTGCCAAAACCTGAGCTCGTGTATCCTCCAGCGTGCGAGCTGATGCTTTCACTGCTGCCACATCAGCGGTCACCTAAATCACGCTGTAAAGACCAGTCAGTGAGGAAAACCAGAATTCTCCAAGGAAATCTTTGCAAAGAGAGTAGGGTAGAGCTGACTTATGGGCCACCATGCCAATAAAAGCAAAAGCAGCAAATGGCAGAGGTGAGTGAGAATAGCTCGCATTTTGTGAGAGTGTTGCGGCGGAAGGGTGGGTGGATGAGTGCTCAGAGTGCAGTGAATGACGCGCAGACCTCATCTGGGTGATGTTCCTTTAAGAAAGTGACCTCATCTCTAATGTAAACTGCATATAGAGGTATGTAAACGTTTTTACTGGCTGTAAAAATTTATAGTCAATAGATTTACCATCCCATAAAACCATAGAGGAATAACGGAATGGAAACATGCCTGTGTCCCATGCTAGGTCTGCGCCCTGAGCTTCCACCTCCCTGTGTCTGAAGCAGGGCTGTCTGCAAATAGCTGCATCCTATGGGCTGGTTGTGATCTCAGACCAGTTAGCAAGGTCTGTTACAGAGATAACATGCCTGAAGTGCATTTCACGCCTTGTAGCTGGATGACTGTTACAACACCCTTTTCTTTTTTAAACAACCTTCAGAGTACGCCACCGTAGATGTCAGATCTCTCAAATACAGTGAATTGTTTGCATGTGTATTTTTGCTTTGCTTAGGGTATGGAAGGGATACTTCCTGCTTTAATCAACATTAATGGAGCCGGGCTGAGAGCTCCCCACAGGTGTGCCATATGTCATTGCTTAACTTGATGGCAGCACCACCTGTGCCATCCTACCCTGCCATTCCCCATCACACCCAACTCCTCGGAAACTACACCCAAAGTTTTCATACGGTTTCATCCCAGTAAATGAAGCAGGGTTTTTTTTTTTTTTTTTTTTTTTTTTTTTAATTAACATCTCTAGGGAAATGCACTTTAAGGACACACAGAGCATATAGTGGGGAATTTTTTCCCGAAGCCAAGTGCTTGCTGCATCATGTCCATTCCCACTGCTGTCAATCATTACCCAGCCAGCACATTATGCAGAAGGTGGAGCTGTCAGGCAGTAGGAATAAAAGGTAAGAAAAGCCAGAAGGCTCCTGCTTGTTACAGATGCCAAGGGTGAGTGAGATTATGTCAAACCTTTACAGTCCCCTCTCCCCGCCCCACCCCTCACCCTGCCCCTATATAAGTGGGCTGCAACCACCAGCACCTACTCTGCCTTCCTGCCTGGTGCCTGGGTGATGGATGTTCTCCCCAGCAGCTCCTTGGGATGGCTGTGTGTGGCCATCCCTGTGCTTTTTGGGCTTTGCTTGGTCAAGAGGAGATACAAAGCCCATGTGCTGCTCCGAATTGTGCTGCCTGCCTTGCTGGGACTGCTGTGTGTGGCCGTGCTGGGCATGTGCTGGGGGCTCATAGTGTTCTGCAGTACATGGCTCAGCTGCTCGTTATACCTGGATGCAGGGCCACTACCTGTGGGTGACAAAGCTGTGCTCATCACAGGTAAGGGGCTCGGGGAACAAAGATGGGCTCTGCATGAAGGTGTGCTGGAAAAGTTTCTGCTCTTCAGGTTGGAATTCTCTGAAATGTGTGCTTGTAGGCAGTGCTTCTAGTCTCTTCTTGTTTTACTTGATTTTCTGGACTTGTTTTCTTTCTTTTTCCTCGTTCTGAACTTAAGTAGAAAAACATCTTAACAGATGCCATTATTTTAAGTATTTCATTTAATCCTTACAAGTAGCTTTTCAGATATGCTTGTGAAAATGACTGGTTGGAAAGAAAGCCCACGAGAATACTTACAATGGGCTAATTGTTGAGGAGAGACATTAATTTCTGGGAGCACTCAAAACACTCCACTCGTGCCTTACTTCAATTTGCTGCACTGGATGCTGAGGTACCGCTGTCTTCTGATGCACTGTGTACACTGTGCCTGTAATTCAGGGCACTGCTTTGGTGCTGTCTCTATGACACAAAGTGTGTTTGGGAGTGAGTGATTTGCCCCCCTGGCAGGGAAAGCTTGGAGCTAACGACTTTGCCCTGTTCTAATGCTCTGAGCCACTCAGAACCCCCTTTGTTTTTCAGGGGTGGCATTTCTGTAGTTTTGTGGCTGTACTCTTGTTTCTTCTGAGACTTTCAGTGTTGCTGTCTGTGTTAATTAGTCTTCTGAAGTGGAATGCCCACCTACTCATTCTTGCACTAACTTTAAAAAAAAAAAAACACACTTTTTCTGTTTTTCCCTATGGAAAGCTGAATCAAGTCGCTTTGGATGATTGAGCTATTTATTATAGTATTTCACTTTGTTTTATAGGGACTCCTGGAGGTGATTTAGAGCTCCCTAACAGCACTGCTGTGGGGATTAAATACAGAACTTGGAGCACAGGGCAAGCATGGGATTTCCTCTCTTTCTTTCACAGCCAGGGTGAAGAGGGGCCCTGGGCATGGGAAGGGGCAGTGCTGCTCTCTGTGAGCTGTCAAATCAGCAGTTCTTCAGGGAACACTTCAGAGCTTATCTCTAAAGGGCCAGAGTTAAAACAGTACCAGGCAGGGAAGAGCTCTGGGTTACGATGCAGCGACTGTCTGCTTTCTTTGTACCTGTGCTGCAACTGTCCCAAACAAATGCAAGTTCAGACACCTCTGGCAGATGATGCAGCTGCAGAAGCTCTTCTGGGTCGTCTTGAATCCAGATGGTATGCAATCAATCAGACCCTCCTCAATCAAAATGAAAGTTTTAATCAATGTGATTCCCAGTTGCTCTGCCTGCAGCGCTTACCACCCTCCCCCCAGCTTTTGTGAGAGAAGACACAGGCGCACAGTGCCCTTAAATCAGTTTTGGGTCCTTTTCTCCAGTTTAGAAGAGACCTGAGGCAGGTATTTCATGGGAAATGATTTCCTTGCACCATCCATCCCTGTATGGAGTGCTGCAGCTGCCCCATGTTGCCCACGGCTGCCTCTGGGTGGAGCACACAGTGACCTCAGTGCTTCTCTAGGGGCTTTCAGATGTGGTTCTGGTCATCGTGTGCTGCTGCTGTTTGTAATTCACACCAGCAACTTGCCAGCCTGGTTGTCCAAGCGCCCTTTCACACAAGCAGCTGCAGGTGTGTGAGCAGTTTGAAACACAGATGGAACATTTCCATTTACCCTCCTGCTAGGACTGAGTGCTTTGCTGTCCACAGCTGTGGCCTCAGGCACAGCTGGGTTATATAGACCCAAACTGAAGATGCAGGGTGGCAGGATTGTGAAATTCTTGCCTTGATTTTTTTGTGTGTTGAGTGGGATGAACTACTCCAGCTCAGTTGGTCTTTCCATTCCTGGGGGAAATGGTGCCCTGTGTTCCTGATGCTCAGGGTGAGTTGAAGAGAAGTTCTTAGTAATGACTCGGTTGCAGTCTGTACTGACTTCCTCTCTTAAAACAAGTTTTCTAGTGATTCACAGATGGCTGTTTTGTTTGTGGGGGAAATCTCTAATTCCTCTGCCCACTCCCCAATTCAAGCTGTGTTGTAGGGCTTTTTCATGTGGAATATGCAGCTCCACGTCTGTGTCCCTACCGGAGAGGATGGAGGAGTTGAGATTTGAGCCAGGAATCTAATTCTCAGTAGAAGAGAGAAAGACAGAGCACCCCTGCTTACCCAGAAATCCGTCATGTCTTTGAGGTATCTGCAGGCCTCCTCATGTTTCCTAGGGATTTCCAGGAATGTAGGCTTGTTCATTTCTTCCAGACCAGGGCCGTGAGAAGTGAAATGTGATGGATGTCATGGTCTGGTACATTGTCAACAAATGGTGGATTTCAAAAATGCCAGAAAGCATTCTTTAAAGAAGGGATTCAATAGAGCATGAATAATTTGTTTCAACATCTCGTGCTGATTGATCCAAGCACTGAGTACATGTTTCTTCCAAATCACCTGGAATTAATTTCTTTTCCACCTTTCAGTACTAAAGTCTCATGTAGGAGATAAAACCCAGAAATAGAGATCTAGCACGAGTTAAGATAAGTCTCCTTGGCACTCAAGCTCTGTTGACTGAGGATTATGAGTGCAGGAGCTGGTCCATTATCAATGGTTGTAATAACTGCCTTTGTGTACAGGAATTGCAGATTAACCCCCATAGCTTTCTGTAAGGTTACATGGGGAGACTTGCCCTCCTTTGCAAATGAGGAAAAGGCAAAAAGCCAACTGAAGTCCCGTCCCTTTGTTTCACGTGAGGGTTTCCACCCATGCTGCAAATGGCTTTGGAAGTTGGGCTTACTCAGTGGGAGGATCTGTATGAGCCTGATTGTTGCTGTGTACTTACGTTAGTGATGCTTGTGCATTTGGCAGTTTGTTGCTTTATATGTAAATGTAAGCATTTACAAAGTTTAGGAATACGTCTGATACTAGAGAAGATTAAAATAAAAAAAAATCTGATGCAAGTTTGCACAAATCAAATAGCTGGTATAACTTGGTTTAGCCTAAAAATGCCTTTCTGGAGTTTCGTTAAGACTTGAAAGCTTTGAATCCTTTTGCAGCTAAAGACAAAGTTGCTTAGCTTTAGCTTGGTGGTAGCCTGCGGCCAAAAGTATTCATCAGAATGATTCAGAGGGTAGATACTTGAATAAAACAACACAACTTCTTGAATTAAGATATATAATTCAATTGAATTGCAGTGCCCTATATAATGCTTTGTCCAGATGAGATTTCACATTAAAATCTGGATTTTCTTTTTTTTTCTAGGTACTTTCTTATCAGGTTTCAGTTTGTGTTTTGTATTAAATCAACTTTATTTCTTCTGTGTGTAAGGAATGAGTCTTAAAATCTCTGTGGGACAGAGTAAGCAGTTACTCTCAGCTCTGAGTGAGGAGGGGATGTTCTGTTGGTGTTTACTGAACATATGAAGGACCAGTTTCTCATCTCTTTACACTCAAAGCTCCCTTTCTGCTCTCATGCATCTCAGTCATTTCCTTTCATCTTCCTTTTGGTTACATCTGTATGCGTTTTCAATCAGAGCTGCCTCCCTCTGTGTTAGTGATGATGATGACTTAGACTTGAAGTGTCTTCTCTGTCCTTGAATTCTTTCAGGAAGTGACACTGGGATTGGACACGCGTTGGCCAAATACCTGGATAACCTGGGGTTCACTGTGTTTGCTGGAGTTTTGAACAAGGATGGTCCTGGAGCTGAGGAGCTGAGGCGGACCTGTTCCCAGAGGCTCTCTCTCCTACAGCTGGACATAACCAATCCCACCCAGGTCAAGGAAGCCTACCTGCAAGTCTCAGAGAAAGTGCAAAACACAGGTACAGCTTTTGTGGCATTGTATGGGATACTAATCTGTCTCTTACCTGTTGGCTTCATCGTGTCTTACGTATGTAGGTTATTTCCACCCCAAAGTCTGTGGCAGCTAAGGCATGTGTGTTTTTGTTTTCTCCTATTCTCAGGGCTCTGGGGAGTTGTGAACAACGCAGGCATCCTGGGCTTCCTTGCTGATGGTGAGCTGCTGCCCATGAACACATACAGGCAGTGCATGGAGGTGAACTTCTTTGGGGCTGTAGAGGTGTCCAAGACCTTCCTGCCACTACTGCGGAAATCCCAGGGGAGGCTCGTGAACATGTCCAGCATGACAGGTGAGCTGAGTGAGAGCACCAAGGGAGGGTCTGGTACAGAGGAAAAGCAATTCAAGTCCTTGGCATAAGTGCTGAGGAAGATGCTGGTTGGTCTCAGTCATAGAAATGCCCAAGGAATTAGTACTTAGGTAATCAGTGCAGGCTTCTGTTGAGTAGGCTGTTTTCAGAAATCAGCCCTTAAAGAAGAGTTTAAAATAATTAAAAAATGAACTGCTATATAGAACTATAAAACTCTGTTCTTGTGTTGTAGGTGATAGTTGCTGTGAGGGATAGTTCTGATTTTCTTCTAGGAAGATGGGCAATTTTCTAGAACGCATTCCAGTAGAAGCCTGCTAACACCTCAGTTTGTGCACCCTTGAGCCACACCATGGTGATGCCCAAAGGTTTTTTGACTTATGCTAGGACAGGTATTCTTCCACTTAGGCTGGTTACAGCCAAACGCTCATCTGGGCTATTTTTTTTAATACAGTGGATTGAAATTAGAAATAGATTTGGGATAAATTCATGACATTTGTGTTTACTATATATGCCTTTATAATATAACCTTCTGTTCTGGGATGACAGCTGAGTTTAAGATGTAGGAGGGGGAGTAATAGCAGTATCTCATAGCATTCCTGCTCCTCTGCTGTTGGCTCATTTGAAAGTGAGACCTGCTAGAACAGGATATCATGATGCTGGAAGGTATCCTTGCAAGACCTCTTCAGGGTTTGCCATATCACCTGCTTCCCAATTTTTCCTTTGTCCTGTCTGCTTGGGTTCTCACTTGTGTGCAGTTTGTGTCTACTTGAATCCTGCTGTATTGCCAAGGCATTACCTTCTGCTTGTGGCTTACCTTAAGGATGTGGCATCAGCCTGGCTGTGGCATTGTCATCTTCTGTCTTTTTTTCAATTCCAGGAATGCTTTTGTACATGCAAACCCATCTTAATGGCTCATTGCTAGCAATGAAGTCTTGATTTTTTTTTTTTAAATTTTTTTTATTAATGAGGGACCATTGCCCTTGCAAGCTCAGAAACAGAGGACAGATCTGCTTTCTGAGCACCCAAGTGAAGCTTGTATTTTAGGTGTTTTGTGGCAGATGTCTTGATTCTTGGCACAAGTCCTCAAGTTGTCTTGCAGAGATAAACAGAGCTTTCCTATTCTGAATAATTTGCTGTTAAAGGAGTTAATAATGACCTTGCTTAAACTATAGATATTCACAGATGTTCTGATTTGGGTAAATAGCTTCCTCTCAACATGGGGTCTGAGGGTCCTTTGGTAAAACATTAGCAGAAAAGTTAGTGAGGTCTGATTGTGCTGAGCCTATTCCTGCCTGCAGAGAGCTACATTAACTGGATTTGAGGTTACCCTGACCTGAGAGGGAGAGCGTATGTGATTCAATTGGCTCAAACCAATTGAAACTCATCTTTTTTCAGTTGCATACAGGAGAAAAATTAACGTATGATTGGCCTGACTTCTTTTCCAGGAATGATTCTGCATGTGGAGCTCCTGTAGTATCCTGGTTCTTACAGTTAAAAAAACAAAACAAAACAAAAACCTCAACAAATGGCACCGGTGGCTGATTAGGAAGTTTGCCTACATTCAAAGATTTTCTTTTAAAGCTTCGAATATACTGAGACAGAATGTTATGTCTGAAATGGAGGCTGTCCCAGAGGTTTTGCTGGGCTGCCGATGCAAGCAGGAGTGGTGTGCCTGGGGAAAAGGGGTGCCTGGTTTTGTAAAGCTGGAGTTGAGATTACTTGCTCTGTTATAACTGTAGTTTATAATAGGAGCTTGAAATTCATGCTATTGACAACAGGAATAGCAGTATTAATCTATCCTTTCACTGTTTATATGAAGTAAAGTATTATCTGTGTTTTGGAAACCAGCCGTTGTATTGCATTTGAGGGTAAAGAGTGCTGCAAATTACACTTCATGTTTTCTGCTGTAGATGATATCTTACAAGGAGTTACTGAGCATAAATGCTATAAGCAACTGCTAATTTACAGCTCACACTTTTTTTAACCTCCAGAAAGAAATGATTCCCTCACCGACTTGTCTTTAACCTCAGTGAGAGCCACGTAATTCTGGTTGTGCTATAATCTTCCTTCTAAATCACTGAAATAAAGGCTGGAAAGAGCCAGTGTTAAGCTTTATCATGTTTATATTGCTCCTGCAGGAGGCATTCCGCTACCGAGGTATGCTGCATATGGAGCATCAAAGGCAGCTCTGTCCATGTTTTCTGGAGTAATGAGGCAGGAGCTTTCCAAATGGGGAATCAAAGTTGCTGCAATTCATCCATCAGGCTTCAGAACAGGTTGGTGTCTGACACTTTAGATAGTTCCTGCCTCTCTTTTCCCGCAGTCTCATGTCCTCAAGGAGAGCTCTGAATGAGTCTCAGCACTTTCCTCTTCCTCATGTTGATTACAGAAATTAAGGTGTGTGCACTTTTGACTGCTGCTCCCCTCCAGGTCTCATATCTCTGCCTTGTGATCCAAGGCAGAGGAGTGAACTCTTTGCTGTGGAAGTGCTTGAGCAGAGGTCTGTATTAAACAATACTGTAATCTTGTTATACCTTTCAGGTGATAGTGCACAGTTTGTCTTCAGAATCTCTCTGTATCCTCCTTCTGGGGGGGGGGGAGACAAAAAAAAAAAAAAACCCAAACATGCTCAGTACTGCCTACTCAAAGTTCTGGTGACTTCACAAAGAATTCCTATGCCAGTGAAAAGCAAAACATGTATTCTTTTCATAAAAGCTCTCTCCCTTGAATGCTTCCCTTCCCGTGTGACAATGGGCTCTGCCAATATCCCCAGGTTTCTACCTTCAGGAATCTGCTGTGCTATTGCCAGACTCTTAGATGGGAACTTCACCTGTCAAGACAAGTCCCAGTGTTGGTGCTGTAAATATTTATTTAAAGATAGGTCTTTATTTGCAGCGCTTAATTCATGACTTATGCAATAAATGCATTGGAAAGCAACTGCTTTCATTCTTACATGATGAAAATAACTTGTTTTAATCTAATACAAGCTTCATTCTTCATGAAACAGCTTATTAAAATACCAGTGCCTCTCTTATGAGGCCATGGAGAAATGAGGCCAACCCGATTTAATCTTGCCCATCTTACTTTCCCTCTCTCTTCTTTCAATGAAATCTCCTATTAATAAACACTAATTAGAAATACCTGTTTTAAATAAAGAGTAAGGACAGAATGACATGGGAGGGAAAAGATACTGCCTCTTTTGAGTAGAGCTGGTAACAGAACAGTGTATTAACACCATGCAGGTGTAACTAACCAGGTGTTTTGCTCTTCCCTTATGCAGTTCAGAACTACTGTGCCTCGGGGCTCAGTGGTGGGGAGTGCTTACTGCCTCAAATCATGGCTTAATTTTTTTTTTTATAATCAACCCCAAACTCACTTTCAACCATGGCGTTACTGCTGCAGGTATCCAAGGCACATCAGAGCTGTGGGTGAAGCAGGAGAAAGAGCTGGTGGAGCACCTCTCAGTGGACGTGCAGCAGGACTATGGCAGGGACTACCTGCTGGGGCTGAAAAACTACCTGCTGCGTATCCCTATGTTCTGTGATGTTGACCTCACCCCGGTGCTGAGCTCCATCCTGCATGCACTGCTCGCCAAGCGACCGCACGGCTTGTACACCCCTGGCAAAGGGGCTTATGTGCTGCTCTGCATCTTCTGCTACTTCCCACTCTGGTTCTATGACTTCTTAGTCAGTAAGTCGCTGGGACTTGAGTCCATCCCAAAGGCGCTGAGGGCATCAGAAGCTGAGAATGAGGACCTCTAAGGTATCTACTGGCATTTATCAGATTTGTGATCACTGTGGAAAGAACTCTGTTTTAGGGCTCTGCTAATTGTTGTACTGCCTTTGGTATATGGAGTTTGAGTTGCCTTGTGAGTGGAGTGAAATCTCTGTGTTAAGAGCAGTGTTCAGGAAAATGGTGAATAAACAGATAGAAAACATAGGAATGGTCTTTCTGGAGTAACTGCAGTGTTTCCCAGTCTGTCTTTGGTGTAAGTTATATTACGAGGTTATTGTCTGCTTGTCTGCTTCAACAACCAGTACCAACACATGGACAGATATCTAACCTGATTTTTAATCTTTTAGTTCACAACCTTTCTAAACCTTAGAAGCTGCATATTCCCATCACTTGAAAGACTTAAATGTTTAATGTACGTCCTTTTCACTGCAGCTTCAGTATTCCTTTCTCTGTGGTTCTCTTGCTGTTGGACCTGAGAAATGATTGACTTTTTTTTGCCCAAGTTCTGTGAAGTATTGTTGTGATGTTTATGATGTGTCCTCTCTGGACTGAGCAACACAAATAGTATGGGGGGAGAGGAAATGAACAAAGACAGATGAAGATTTTCACCACAATGCCAACCATCTCTTTCCTGCAGTGTATTACTAATAACAGTGGTGTTGGCTGCTAACTTCATGTCACTGTTTAGCCTATTTTGCTGTTTCTGCTTCTGTATCTGTAATAATTAGTAAATCGATCTCACTTCTCTCTAGATAATACTTTATTCAGTTTTGTGGTTAATGAAGATTCATGAATGTTCACTTTTTCCTGAACACTTGCCTGTTTTTTCCTGTGTTTTCACTTGTTCTGTGAGTCTTGTGCTTTCGGTCACTCCTCCTGAATCCTTTTGTGGTTGCCCTCCTCTGCATTCCATAGAACCCTTTCCCACACCTGAAGTTGAGCAGTTCTCTGTTTTCCTACCTGGTCCCCTTCTTAGCATCACTTGGCTTTGTAAGGCTGTAATGTGCTGGAACAAGCCCCATCCCTGAGTTCCCTATATCTTGCTTTGCTTCCTTTCATGTGACGAAGAGGAGAAGTTATGTTCTGAGCTTTCAATATAGGAGCATTTTTCCTATCCTCACATTCTCATCTTCTGTCATAATCCTACTTGTGATTACATACTCCTGAACAAAATTCAATTAAACTTGTGTTTGTAAACTTCTACCTCCTTCGTGTACCTCATACAGCAATACCAGACTCTATTTGTGCCCAGAGGATGCTCTGCGGACTTTGCTCGCTGTTTCAATTTGTGTCCTGGTTTGGAAATCCTCCTTTCCTGTACACCTTGTTATTACTATTGCTTTTATCTATGGTGGCTTTCCTCCTTATATCAGTCCCCCTCATAGATGTTTTTTATGCCATCCTTTCAGGAAAGTACAACAACAAATGTTTCTCGCTCAGGAAGTCTGTGACTGTTTCAATCTCTGTCCATTTCTACCTTTTATTTACTTCCCAAAACTCTTTGATCTGCCTCAAAATGTACAATAAAATGGATTGCTCTGATTGCTCTGACTCTTCTGGCTCTGTCTTGACTTTGTACGCTACTGGGGACTGCTACAACCAGCAAGGCTGAATCCTGGCTGTCTTCAGAGTGAGGGAACTGCCTGACGCGTCGTCTTGTCTCAGTCCTGGATGGAGGTGTTTGTTTTCCACTTTGCATCAGTTGAGCTGTAACTTGGGTTGGCTGGAGTTTGGCCCTTAGGTGCTCGCAAACATTATAAACCCAAATTCCCCTTGGCAGCCAGTTCACTTTTTATGTGGCAATATTCATAACAATCCTTAATCACTGCTGCGTTGTTTGGCAGCAGTTATAAAATGCAAATATTTCTCTCCTTTGCTTCCTTAATAGAAATATTACCTTTTGTGTTGCAGACCTATTAAACTAGGTGTTCACATGTAGGATTTGATTTTTATTTTTAAATTATTTTAACTTTTATTTCTTGGGAAGCTTATATTCTAAATAGCTATTTTATACCTCCTCACCTAATGAGGAAGGTGCTTCAGCCAGTCCCAAGTGATTGTGGGCTCAAAGGTTGCTAGTGTTTCATTCCTATGGGGACTGTACTTCTGTTTTTTAAGGATAATTGTTGTAACATATTATTGAATTATTTGTCGATTAACAGTTGCAACATTAAAGGTGATTTTTCTGTTGTTAATGGCTTAACTTGAGAATAATCCAAGCTGAAAATGGCTGGTGGCTGTGAGAACAGGAGAATAAATTAAGGGAGTTTGTGGCCAAAGTGCTTGTGTCTGTATTAAAGCAGATGCAGCTCCTGCTCTCAAGGACCAGTGTCCAGATGCTGTGCTCTTTCCCTTCCTTAAGGGATGAAGCTATTTTGGGAGTGGGAGGAGAACAAGGGAAATGGCATGGTGATTGATCTACTTAAATTCATAACTTGAGCCTGTTTTCAAATTCAAGTCTAATGAAAAGCATCAGAAAACTGAAGAATGTGGCTGCAGCCCGACAGTGGGAATAACAAATAACACCTAATCAGTTACACTCTGATCAGGTAAGTAAATATTGAAAGCCCTATATATATAGTTTAAAAGAGGTTATATTCAGCAAAAATCATGATTTAAAAACATTTTATACACCTCCCTCTGCTCTAGCCTGTGGAATGCATGTTGTGACTGAGGAGTAAATGCTACCTGCCACTTCTTACCTGGCCCATCTCTGGCTCCCATTCTCCTAGTCTGCATTTACTTCTCTGGCTCACAACTTGTCTTGGTTAATGTGAGCAATTGGTTTTAAGATATGTAGCCTTGGTGAAACAAAAGGTGAGTTAGAAAGTCTTCATTTTTTTAATAACAACTTTATTCTAGTTCCCTCTCTATGGGCCCCTTGATGACAGCATGTCTGATACGTGCTTCTAGTTCTTCACTGAGAAGAGCAGTGAAATATCAGGCATCTTTGTGGGAGAAAGCTGTGGTGAGTGAGATTTGGTGGCCATCTGCTGAGGGACCATCTCTGCAGCTCTAGGTGCATGAGGCTGAGTGTGTGGCTGGAGGCAAGGAAGGCAGTTGAAGTGTTGAGAGTTACGGTGCTCAGATGAGGGCTTTGGAAAGGGACTTGGGGTTGGGTAAAACTAGTGGTTTATCCACCCAGAACCGGGGTGGGTTGCTAAGGATTGTTATTAACTTGTATGGGCATGGGAATTAATCCCAAAAATGCTTTCATGCTCTGAGTAAGAGGGTGAGCAGACCTGCTGCTCCACATCTGGCTGCCTGATGCTGGTACCTTGGTGAAGCTTATGCAGGACTTTTGTAGTTCGTGCCAAAGCCATAAAAATAGCATAACATCCATCTCTATGTAACAATCCTAAAGCCAATTTTTCATTAGTAGAGGCCAAACACAGGAATGAGGAGGAAGAAGCTGCTTTTTCTCATTTAATGCGTGTGATCAAAAGCTTAGTTATTTCTAAGTGGAGTGATTTAAAATATACGTGACTGCTGGAATGACTTCATACCAGAAAGCACATGTGAATGTTGGAGAAATCTCCATATTTTGCCAGTTTGTCTCCCTGTTATCCTGAGAAGAGAGAGGTTGATTTCTAAGTTCCTATAAATGAGTGCCCTGGCCTGCAGAAGGATGGGTTTGCGTATAGTTAAGAAGTCGCATTCTGCTGTACACATTCTTTGTCACGAGGATGCTAGCAGGGAACTCTCAGGTCTCGGTAATATCAAAATAATCCAAAACCAGATGCAGAACTAAAACGGGTCATGCTTTCCTCTTTTGAACTGGCTTACAGCTGGCCATCAACACCCATCTGTGTATGTGAGTCCTTGGGAACTTACAGATGTTTGGAGCAAAAATGAGTTTGGCAGAGAGACCACTTCTGGGAACCTTTCTGGTAAAAGTTTTGCTTGATTTAGCCTTTCTATGGCTGTGTTTTGCAAAATTTTGGGAATCCAGCTGACTTCCAAGAACCAATGGAGTCATCACGTTAACACAAATACTCAGAAGACTTACTCTGAAATAGATTTGGGCAGATTTCTTAGATTTCTTCAAAGGAGAAGTGTTCAGGCAAGAGGTCTTGACTCTTGCAAGGTGACACAGATTAACAAGTTTTGTTCTTTTTTTTCCTCTTTTCCATCACTTAGAAGTATTAGGATAAATAAATGGAAAGTAATGGTACTGCCAGGAGCCATCCAATGCATTGAATCCTGAGCTGCCTGAGGTGTAATCATTCCTGCTGAAACTTGTCAGCAGAACTCCCTGGTATGCAGGCACCATCGCAGGCAGCAGTATTTCACTAGCCATTGCAGTCATCATCCAACTGGAGGATTAGGGCTATAGCTATTAGTGTATACAGGTGTTGTGGTGGGCTTTTACCACTGTAAGAGTGGTCATTACTTTGATTTTTAAAGCGTGCCCAAATCATAAACAAACATTGCTGACATTTCATGGCAGGAGACAAGCTTTAAATAGGATAAATGGGTTTTGAGCATGTTGTATAGGTCATCGTAACCTAAAGTAATGAATCTAGATTAACAACCTTAGTGGAAGTAATTGCTGTAATATAGATAGTCTACATAGGTTTAATGCCTGGGTTATGTAGGTTAAACAAGCTAAGTCTATGTGCCTGTCCATCTTGTTGCCTTTGGCTGTGGAAAGAGTGCTGAACTATTTCAAAATAGAAGATGAGAGTTGAAAACAAGATCAAGGGATGTGAGAAAGAAAGATCTAAAGAAAACATGAGGGCAGTAAGTACAAATGACAGTGAGAGGAGTGCAGGAAGTAAGTAAGCGTGGTGATGCTAGAAAGAAGGGCCTGAGCAGGCTCAGATCTGCTGGCATGCCATGCTCTGGGTCGTGGTGACCTGACCTCTTTCTAACACACCTTCTCTATCACCTCAACACTTGACTTTAGAAAGTGCTATTGAAGAGACTGAATGAGTGGTTATAAAATTACCCCCTTCAAAGCCCTTCTAGTGTTACTTGCTCTCATAGCATCCCATCCCCCAAAACCCTGGGACAGATGTCGTGACTGGAGTTGGCAGCAGGGATGGGGCAGCTGCTCAGCAATGCTCCCAGCTCAATGCACTCTCACTGGCTTTGGGTGGTGATGAAAGGGCCTGGTTGTTTGTTCCTGCATACCTGGGAGTGGGGAGGGGATGTTGGCTGTGGGCCAAAGCTCATCAGCCCACGCAAGGCTGGCAGCGCTGGATTATTTGCACTCTGTCTGGGGGGAAGTACTTTTCATAATGGGGGGAAAAAAAATGTATTTGCCCTTCAGCCATAGTAATTTCCATTACTGTAGTCTGGGGGAGTAGAAGTCATCTGTGCCATGTTCCCTATGGGCATGCACTGTCAGCAATAAGTGCTGACACCAAGCCATGCGCACGTGTGGAAAGCTCTGTTGCATGCACGACACAGAGTGCAAAGCCAACAAGATGAAAAAGAAGACGTGCATCTGACTGAGAGCAACCCAAGGGTGATTTATTCCACTGTTGTGTGGGAGAATCTTACCTTTCCAGAACAGGTGTAAGAAATCACTGTTATATAGCAATAACGTCTGTATGGCTCAGAAAGCATCTTAATGCCTTTAATTTCTCAAACACAATTCACAGCTTGAAGGACGAAATCCTTAAAGAGCTCATTTAATTAAAAAAGATGAATGGGGAAAAGCAGAGCAAATAAGATATAATTATTGTTTTAATGTATATACAGCAAAGTAATCATGCTGCACATTGGGCATAAATTAAGGGAATAAGAGGCTTAAAAACTCAGCATTTTCAAAAATGTTTTATCATGAAAAATTGCATTAAAAGTTCATGTTGGGAGTTGGCTCTTTCGTGGGCTCTTCAGAATTAGTGCTGTGTTACTGTGCGATCATGTGTTTCCCTTCACTCCAAATGCTGTCACTGTGATTGCAGATGAGTTGCATTAGATGTTTGAGCAGAAAGTGCAGTTGTTGGAACTAAAGAAAAACAAAAAGGAAAAACATGAGGAAATGACATCCAGTCACTTGCAAGCATCACTTTGGGCCATGCCATCTCTCCCTCTGTATTTCTCAAGTATTCTCAGGGACAGGAAAAGGATGATGATTTTTTTTTTTTTTTTAAAAAAAAGTTGGTGCTGAACCTAAGAAGATTAATGATTCTGCTGTGCCTACTGCTTTAACATATGGTGCGGAGAGCAAATGGGATGTGGTGACAGACCCATGTGCTCCGTAATGAATGGCTGTGTCCAAGGAGTAGAACACAGCAACCTGACAGCAATAGCATCAACAAAACCTGAGCATCCAGCAGCAGGGGGTGCCTGAGCGTGGCTGAGGGCGATGCGATAGATGTGCCATGCACGAGGCAATGCTTGCAGCCTAGCAAGCTGGGTTTATGTGATGGAGGCGGATGCAGCTCCTGCTCTGGGGCAGCTGATGGCTTCGCCAGTGCTGAGGGTTGTTATTTCTGTGGATTTTTTAATTTGTGATTTGGTTTTGAAGTCCATTGGAAGCATTGCGAGATGTCAGACTTCCTCCAGGTGAAAGGGAGGAAATGCGGATGTGCACCCTGAAATTATTTGAGCCTTTGAGAGGTAATCTGTAGTGTTGGCATCTCAGTACCCTTTTCTTAAGGGTTTAATGTCTGACAGTTGAGTCGTGTTCGTGAGGGGAGGATTGTGGGGATGACTACAGGAGCTGAGAGACAGTTCTTACATCCTTCAGTGTACCTGACTGCAATGCAGGCATCCAGAACCTGCAGCAAATGGTCAAACCCACCCTTTCAGGGGAGTTGGTTTGAAGTGCCAGATGGTTCTTAATCTTCCTGGTCAACATCTGCACTAATTTTGGTACACTTTGGAAGCAGACGTAAGAATTGCTTTCAAGTACTGCCCAATGTTCTGGCAGCGTGTAGCGCTGGTAAGGAGGAAAACAGCACTGATGAAACAGAGTTTGGCTCTGGTTGCTTGTGAATCGAGGTCTGATGGGCTCCATTTCCTGGGATCACATGTGGCACTGTGGGAACTGGTTCCCCAGAGCCTCTGTTTGGTCTTGCTGTGGGGAGGATGTAAAAAAAGGTCCTTCCTCCTCTGCTTCTTGGCATGCTGCAATGCACTGAGTGGAACCACCTCAGGACTGACCCTGATTGACTTCCTGAATG